TAATAATATAAAACAACACATAACATGTATTTTCCCGATAATTGTACGCAAATGTCTACTAATATCATCAACACCCTTCTAAGGTCAACCAGTTCGATACATCGACATTAATACTATTCCAAAATAATGTGTACACATTATTATACATAAAAAAAAAACCCCCATAAGGAAGTAGGTGAATTATTCAAGAATCAAGAGATGAAAAATGTTCATGATTCATCGGACCGGCTCGACTGACTTATAACAAAACAAATTCAGTAAATTACATTCATTCAATAGTCGACCGGCAAAACTGGTACACTTTTATTATTAAAGTTCGCGACAGTGTTATTTATTTTTATTTTAACATCATTTTCTGTTTGTAATTGTTCGTATTTTTTTATCAGTTGAAAATTAAAATTAATTTATAAAAGTGAATTTAATAAAATAATAGTGTTAAACGCAATTTTCGTTTTGGATAACTATTGGATTACATTTGGATGCCTATACCTATGCATAATCTTTTAACACGTAAGTCACAATAGTCATTCGTTTTGAAATGAGCATAAAATCAAAATATTTTTCAAAGGATATGATTATTATTTGTTTTAACTGTATTGATTATTTCATTGTTTATTTTCTTAGTAATAATTATATATATTTATTTAAATTATTTAATTCGATTAGTATTAAATTTCATAATATTTGACCGTCTTAACCTTACAATATATACTATACAATTATTTCATTATGTATTAAATGCCTTCAAAAATACTAATGAAAAATATCTTCACAAATATAAAATATTGCAGTAAATTTTTGGCTTAAATTTCTTGTATTAGTTTTTGTTTATTAAATTATAATATATTAACTAATTACAAAATATATGAATTTAAGTAAAATAAATGATTTTGGCTATTTAAAATATAATTTTAAAGAATTTTTTTTTAATTGTTCATAGTATATTAATATATTTTTAACTTAAGTTGTAATATTGTAAAGTAATGCATATATCAATCCATTATTATATACTTTAATAAATTCAATAATTATTTTGAATAAAAAATACATATATATTTAATGCTGTTAACACATGAATACACAATAATAAATAAGTATTTATGACAAGTGAACATATTTCATAATAAGCAACTCGTCTGCTGGCCCCATGATGATCTTGAAACACTAATAGGAAGTAAATGGCGACATACGTTCTTAGAGTCATTGAAAATATAAATGTAATCGTTCAACGAACATAATAAAATTATTAAACTATAAACTATAACCGGATATTTCCTTAACTAAACAGGAAATGCTAATGAATAATAATATATCAAGGTTAAGAGTTGGACCTTAAGGGATGTCTTGACATTTTGGTGACGTACAATTTCGGGGATAAACGAGCACATTAAAAAGTACGTAACATGGAAAATTTTGTGGTAACAATGTATTTAGTAGGGATATAGCCTAACTCTTTGACCGTGACCCGAATTCGCAATAATTCCTACGAAACAGGTTAGACATCATAGTTACCGCCAAAAAATATTATTCACGTGAAATTCTATAATAATTTAAAGACCGAAAATACACGTGTTTGTTGTATTACAGCCTATTAGGCCTGCTATTACACGAAAACGTTTGTCAATGGTACACGCGTGTTATAGACGGAACCAAAAATATGCACGATAATGGTGTTAACGGTAGCAGTGCAATACTTTAATGAGATTTGTTTTCATTTAATTAATATATATTTGACAATATTACTCGTCGACTTCGTTGCGTGTGTTTTTGCGTCTTTTATCTGGAGCAGTGGCTTTATTTTATAAACATTGAACATTACATGTTCGAGGTTAAAAACTATAATATAATATAATATTAGCTTGAAATAAACATAAAATAAATATATTTATCAATTCCTATATAAAGCATTTACAAGTATTATACCTCCTACTACTATGATCCATGACATTTAATTTTAACACGTAAGCTTTGATATTCAATGTTTCGCATTGAAATGTATATTTCTCATACTACTACTAAAATTACATTAAATATAAAACAAACCAATAGATCAACTTAAAAAAGTATAGTGTATATTTTATAAGAAAAAGAGTATTTGCAATTATTATTTCAATAATTTTCTCTTAGTTATCTTGGTTCAATCTTTTTAAATATTAAGTTCTTTAATATATTATATAATAATATAAAAGAAATGGTGATACTATATATAATAAATAATATACCACCTAATTTAACTAATATTTTAGACACGTTAATAAAAAACACTGTGTTGTCTTATATTTATGTTTATAGACGCATCACTTCAATGGGGATATTTTTCCAATACAAACTTTTGATTACACAACTCATACAAAACGTATTTAGTTACACAATGAAAATAAATAAATAATGATAAAATACCTATATCCTGTGAATCCAATCAGTGAATTTTTTTAAATTGTATTAACGAATAATAAATAACGATTATAATTAAAATTATATAATACGCTAACAATATGTTTTATGTTTAATTACATGGTATTGCTCATAATTAAAAAATAACACCAACATGCTAAATTAAAAATAATTATCAGAATTAATAATAAACATTGAAATAAGGTAAGCATTGAGAAGAAATGCTATTGGTGTTTGAATCATTCTAACACATAACATTTCATAAAAACAAATATCGTACATGACATTTAAACGTGTATTTTTTAAACACGCAACGTAACTCTGTTATCGTTGTAACTGTTAAATATTAATTTCTTATGATTAAGATAACGCCAAAATTACATTATTTGATATATTGTATAAATTAGGATACGCAATCAAAATTGTATATATTATACATCACTTATCACTTGTCGTCAAAAAAATACGATAAGCCACAACCGTTGACAATATAAGAGTTCAATGTTCAGCAAAAATATATTTAAAAAATATAAACAAACCAATGAATCTAAAAACCCATTTAACTTTTACCATCAGGCTTACGCTGAAATCTTTTTTTTATTAACTATTTAAGTTTAATTAAACATATATATTATAATTGTTTATTTAATAAATAAATACATTATAAAGAAAATAATATAATATTTTAGTTACAATATTTTTAAATTTCTCAATTTAAATAACTTATAATCTTTCTATCATATAAAAATATTGTAGTTGGCGAGTGAAGCAAACAGTAGCTAAATCTCCTATAATTAATACAATTATATAATTATGTCATACGTATATCGTTTATCCAATACAAAACTTAAATACTAAATAATATCTTTTGAGACAGTTTTTATGGTCCATATAAGCTAAAAAAATCCTTAAATTAATTAATTTAATGATAAAAAATAAAAATAAATATTTTTTTATGACGAGGTAATAATAGTTTATAAATTTAAGTCATATAATATATAATAATATAGGTATAACATCAATGTTACTTCAATTTAAATAGTTTAATTATCAATTAACTGTAGTCCACCTTCAGCTTATATATATATTTTTTTTTTTTTTTTTTTGTAAGCACTTAAATATCAATTTCCATCATAATAAATAATTTATTCTTCATGCACTTAATTATTTAATAAATAGGTATAATATTTTTCACAATTATTGAACTATCTATACTAAATAATCATTTTATCATTTAAATAACGTTTATAAAGGTAAAAAAGTAAATAAATTTAATTATAAAAAAAAAAACCTTTCCAAATAAAAAATAAGCATATTCTAAAAATAAACTAGGTATTTTAAGTTGTATAAATTAAAATGCTAATTATTTTTGCTAATTATTGTTAGTAGTGATTATAAATTAAGTACATTAAGCCAATTGGGTATCAAGAAAGCATGTACCGGTTGTCAAATAGCAAATCAAAATGTTACAAAATGAACTAATTATATTGTTTCGTTTTTTTTAATCAATATCCTGCAGTATATTTTAAAATGAATTAAAAATTGCTGTAAACATCTAAATCAGATGTTCAAAATAGACTTAAAATCTTTCTCAGTATTGTAAAATTGGAACATTATATTGATATAATTATGCCTGAAATAGTTGTCCTAATATAAACGTTTAAATACTCACTATATTTTCGATGTTTAATTTTGTATCACTCGAAAAAAATGTTCAATTTAAAAATGTATCAATAAAATCGACCAAATGTACACCAATCATACATTCATATATATCAGGTAAAAAATATATTGTGTAGATGATACGTTCTGATAATTATGCTGTGATATTCTTATTGTTTTGGTGTATAAAAAAAAAAACCGGATAAATCGACAAGAACGAGTCGTTTTTTAAGAGGTTTAAAACGCACTCGGAGCCTATGCGTCTGCTGTTACTTACATCATAAAAAGGTATTCTACACTTCCGCGTAAGCCAATACGACACGTTGTGTTATACAAACAGAATTATTTGCATCGATGTTTTTTTTTTCCATGAGAGCCAATCATTTTCACATCACGATAATACTACGCAAGTGTAAAAGTGTATACCTATAAATTTTGTATTGCATTATACTCTATACGTCATGTCGTGTACGCTCGGAGAAATGATCCGTTTACGTTCACACAAGCCAATCGTTACCGATGTACACATTATACGCGCTTAACAAAATATAATATGTGTTGAAATATGTTTCATTACAAGTGGATAAACAATATTTTACATCAGGAAGGATGTTACGTATTGTCTCAAATAAAAAATACGTACAACTTGGTTTTATTTAACGTGCACTTTTATCGACTGCGCACGTTCAAAATAACGACACAACACACACACATAACTGACCAATAACACAGTCCTACACGTGGGTTTTCTCAGTTAATGTCGTCAGCAAAATTATTCTAAAATTGATGACCCAAATACGATTTCGATTTATTTATTTTTTTTTTACTTTTTACTTTTAATCCATTGTGCGTTGTTAATCACCTCCAAGTTTATGTGGCAAACGTAAACATAAATAATGTATCCGTCCGTTACTAATGATAATGTCCATTTTTCTCGATTACAGTATCGGACACACTTGAGGTGGCTGCCCGAGTGCACAGCGAATGGGATGCGAAATCATCGTACGAATATATCACATATTCTGAACGCGATCAACGATTCCCACCGTTGATAATAAGCAACGAAAATGGGCTTAACGCCGATCAAGTTACCATACCAGTCAGCCAAGAATCGTCTGTTTGGTGTACAACCCCGGATGTCATCCAGCTTTCAGCAAATACCGACTTTCAACATAAACGACCCGTTTAGCAATGAGCGTCAATCGAACCGACGAACTAGCAGACGAAATGGGTTACCTATCAATATGCTCGTCTCCCAGCAAAGGAGGATCAGCAACAGTGAGTATCGAATTGTTTTTCTTTGCATAGAGATTAAAATAGTGTATTATTTTAGTTGGTTAAGATTACAAACTGATTGAGTAAAGTGGAAAAAATGAAACGTGTTAATATAATATACTATGTAAATAGTACACAAACATAATTTTTATTAATATCGCAGCAGTCCTGTATTTAAAAGAATGTAACCAAAAGTATACTTTATTAACTTTTCTATTCAATATTATCTTAGTTTACCTATATCTTACTGTATCTATTGCAATATAAAGCATTTCATGCTGCAACTATGTTTTTAATCATTCTATTGACATATAAATAATAATCATATTAACTTTTGAATGGGAACTATATAATAAGATTATTTAAAATGTGTCATATCCTAATTCAACATAAACCTACTATTCTATTTTAAACATATAAATAACCTGTGTAATTTAAATTTTTAAATGTTAAGGAATGTATAAAAATTATTAATCTACGTATTAAACGAACTCGATTTTACATACTTATATAATTTATTTTAGGTATTTAAAAATATATATTATAATATATCCAGTAAGTCTTATAAAATAGCTTTATCTCTTACATAAAAAATGCTTTCTATGACAATAATTCTTGATTAAATAATTTGTAAATATTGCATAAGCATTAAAAAAAATATATTTGTTTCACATTTGTAAATAAATGTTTCATGGTTTAGAAAATATAATTTTCTCAGTAAAATTTATATTGTATATTTTTAAATTGCATAATTTTATTCAAACATTGATAATTATCAATAATTTATTTTATCTTAATCAGTCATAACTTATACCAAATACAAACGCATCGAGTCGTTAAATCGAGAAGAAAATTCAAAAAACATTGATTTTTTAATGAAAGATTATTACTCAAGACGAAAAAATTTACCACAAAATCAATAGACATAACAGAGAGAATGGAAAAGAGAGAGAGAGAGAGGGCTATTACCTTAATATCAACCGTCACCACGAATCACTCTTAAATAATTCTAGTGCACTAGACCGTAGAATATTCTATTCTTACGGGCCATGATAAATTTCAAAATACACCTAGTTTTACACTTTTACGTCATAATATAGTATAATATAATATTTTATTAATGTACTTTATATTCTTATAAATATTGAAACTCATTCCATTACCGTATACATAAATGTGGGTTTGCGGTGAAGAGTTTTTTCTTGATTAATTTTAAGTTGACCGGCAATGTCTTCGGTAACAAACACTTCGGTAAAATTTTACTAGATTTTTGAAAGAGTTCGACAAACTTCTAGAATTACTTGTTTACGATGAGATAATACGTTTAGTAGGTCACCGGGAAATAAAAATCGAGAGTACCGCGAGCGTTCGTCAACAAAACGAGCTGATCAGCTGGACCCGGTTTATCAACTCTGCCCTATTACATAGCCATCTGTGTGCACTGTGCAGTGTGCTACATGCCTACATATTATTATTACAGTGTATATAATGACTGTTAGCTGGAGGAAGTTTTTAACACTTCATTGTGATATTGCGTAAGAACTATTGACCGGGAAACGTATAGGTAGGATAACTGCTGGTCAATCGAATTTTAAACGAGTAATCAAAAGGTAGGTAGGAGAAAGTAACAAAAGTAAGTATCTACCAATAACGCTTACATTATGATTATACAAATTCAAGATTGACACACTTTGGCGGAATTAAATATTCATCGATTTTAGAATAATGTCGTTCGACATTTGCTCTCTAAACGTACATCATAAGAACAGTAATCTGAAGGTATCTGATAAAATAAAACATAATACGTCATAAAAGAAATAAAAGAAATAAATAATTTTACCTAACATTTTTTTCTACATAAAAATATACTGCAGGTATATTTTATATATTTTGTGTGTATACTTGTGTAACTCGAAATGTAGCCTATTATGTCAGGTACGCTGCACGATAATTTATAATATACTAAATGCATATTACGTTATCATGAAGAATTGAGAATACCTTGTGACATCGGACATTAGTGCTGTTATTAAACATGCTTATTAGACTGAAACATAAACCTACGCAATGAGCATCCAACTAAGGAGTTTTAAGATTTCAAGTATCATAATATGAATAATAAAGTACCTATTTGAATTATACCTACTACAGTTCCTTGTGTTTTTTTTTAATGAGTGCAGTACTGGAATCCAAACGAAATACCTACCGATTATATATTATTTCTTTAACTAGAAGAAATATTGACACAAACACAACGTCTAAAAATACATATAACATTATTATAAATTTATAAATAACAAATATTATGTAAATATGTATTTTTCATTTAAATTATCATCAATACGAATAATCTATTTTAGATAAATATTAGATACTCCTAATCACAAGATGTAGATATAATTTTAAAAAACGCATTTAATAAATACTATGAAAAATTTGAAACAACTATATACCCATAATAAATAACAATAATATTACGAACAAACGTTGGTCCATTGATCATTGTTAAAATAAGCCATATCAGTAAAGTAAAAGTATCGGTGATACTTATAAACTCTTTGTAGATATTTAAACTATCTACTAAATATATTCTAACAACAATAATTTCAAAATGTTGAAATATGCTCATTTTATCTTGTCACTTACTGTATAATTAGATAAATTAGTAATTATTTATACACCTTGTTTGTGGTACAGGCGTTCATTAATCATGACCGCGAAATATTATAATCTTCACCGAACCATGGAAGTTATATAAAATGAATGTATGTCGAAATGTTCATATATGTGGTTTTAATTTAACTATATCATAATGATAATAAAAAAATAGAATAATAATTACATTACTTTGAAGTAATTAATAATCATTTGATTGAACTCAATTGTAATTACTAATTACATATATATATATATATTTTTTTTTTTTGAAAATTTTCATTTAACAAATAATATTAATCACAATAGGGTCGATTATTTCTTTTATATATATGTAGTTAGTATAGTTAATAATTCTTAGTAAATAATAATATATTCATATTCAATTTTTTATGTACTTTTTATTAATAGCTTGGTTTAAAATTAATCAACTTAATATAAAATTAAGAGCAATAAAAAAAAATTTCACTTTGAAATTTGTTACATAATACTTGCCTACTGATATTATAAATATACCTACCATTTATATTGATTTATTTTTATTCTCGCAATGACTAATTGTAATGTTAATGAACGTCTGAGAACTAAAAGAATGAACATTAATAAAATATTTTAAAAATTTAAATTATTTTTTACAACATTGGTATGAAATGACAATTTTTTTTCTTTTAAATATAACTTTTGGGTGGCATATAGTCGATTGAAAATTAATTATAAACCGTTCTCCGATACACCATTAAAAATGTATGAATAAACTGCAAAAAAAATTTCGCTCACGATCGTTGTGATACATAACACATTAAAGCGACAAAGGTAATAGGTTATATATTGACATTTGATATAGGTAGATAATAATTATTATAATCAGATGAAATATATGTAACTAGTAATTCCTAAAGGCTAAGGTTAATATAATTTATATTTCAGAATTTTAAAACAAAATCAGTTATTGTTAATTAACCAAATCAAAATTATGACTGGCCAACTTTTTATTATTTCGTCAAACCAATGTAGGTATACGTACGTTTATCTGAAACAATCAACCTAATCGGAAAAAATTTAAAATTTAAAAACTACATTTAAGAGACAACTTATTTCAGAATAATTCTTTGCGTGATTAAATTAGAATTACATTTACATTGATTCAATTTGATGAGGAGCTTCAGCCAAACTATTTATACATTGAAAAAAATTGGTGAAGTGAAAAACCTCATACTCACCTGTACTAATGTTTAACTAAATATCTATGTTCTATTTTTTCATACCCACTATGATAACTCATAAATTAAAACATGGATTTTTGTATAATTGTATATTTTTTCTTCTTTTAAATTTTTAAATTTTAGTCAGTTATCTTTACAGATCATAATAATTTTGAAACTTATAGAAAAATTCTTTTGCATATTTCTGCATATTTAACATAAAGCTTTAATGATGTGTATAAGTTTATATACATATCATATCTATTCATTCGGTAAATTTTCAAATCAAAATATCCAACATAATTTTAAACTTTGGTACATATGTTTATTTTATATATATATAAATACAAAATTTTAATTTAATAATAACATTAAACCTTGTTTCAACAGAAAAATAATATTATAATTATTGTACACGAGTATCACCAATTCATATACAACAATAAAGTATATCATCATACGAATGTGAGACGTGGCTATATGCATATAAAAAATATTTTATGCATTTTATTTTATACAAAAAAAAAAGTAATGCATACTTAATGCATTTATCGTGAAATAACGACGATAAGAGTTTAAATTCTAAAATTAAAATTGGGAAAACAACTGTTGATAACAATAACTATTACAATAATAATAATAATAATAATGACTGTTCGTCATACGGTTTCACCAAAATATATAAATATGAATTTATTTTATGTACTATATAGTTTAATGATTAATGAAAGCTAGAACATAAAAATATGCACTCTAATCGAATTTTAAAAAAAATTCTAAGTTTTTAGTAGCTTGTGAAATAGTAATTAATTGAGAGGAATAATTATGACTTGCAGGATAAGTCTCTTTATCCCGCCGCGATTTGCGCCTATAAATTGATATGTTAATGGAATATAAAAATAATTCTAAAAATGTCATTTAAATTTGTTTCAGGTCGACTAGCGGTCATCATATTTGGTGTTGTAGCCTTAATAGCTGGACTAATACTCTCTTCAGTTCCGTGGGTTCATTATATAATTTTAAAGGTATTTTCACAATAGTAATCACATAAGAATATTAGAAACAACGCTACAGGTGTTTCTAACACAATAAAAATAATAAATAATTAAACAATTGAAATCACAGAGAATGTCCAAATTCAAATATTTGTTCATTATAAAACAATACTAATTACCAATATAAATGTGTAAAGAAATAATACGTACTGAACTTTCTATTAAAAATGATACTTTAAATACATAATATAATCTGATTTTACATAACTTTCAGTTTATTTTCATAGTATACCTATAGGATTACGCGAATATGATAATTGTAAAGTGTGATATTAAATATCACAACTATCTATGATGGTTATTTAGACGTTAATAATTATAGTGTGTGTGTGTGTGTGTGTGTGTATACTATAATATTTTTATTACGGCACGTTCAGTAAATAGCCAATAAAATCATTGTCCATGGCACAATGTACAAAACAAATTTATTAATTATTTAAATTTTCAAAAACCATTACAAAATATGATTAAAAAATGTTGAACATTTACTCATTTTCAATACTTTTATAATCCAATATCAAACAATATCCGATTTATTAAGCTTAGTTATTTATTATTTTGATTTCGGATAAGGTGTTAATGATTCTTTGAAAATTTTTAAATAAAAAAATGTTTACATTGGAATTTTAAAAATAAAAATTATAAAATCTTACCAATCTTCTTCAACTAACACATTTAGTATTTTATTATTAAAAAAAAAAAAATGTTTAATTTAATTAAAAAAATTAAACTAATTATAATTAATACATACATACTACCTACTGTTAAGTATATTTATTAAATTTTAATATATTAATAGAAAAATTAATACTTGTTTTAAATGTTCAATATCATAAGAAATATACAAATTACAAATCTATTTAAAATATAAGATTTATTTGTCTAATTAATCATTTTATTTATACTTATATTTTTTTCACAAATTAAGTATTAACGTTTTACATAATAGTTAAAATAAATAATATTTAATTTCTCTTATTCAATTTTATTAATTTACAACTATTATATTTAAGAACTTGAAAATATGGAATGGAACTTTAAGTTATCATTACTGGCAAAAACCTGGTGTATTAAGACTGACAAAAGTATTCATATTCAATGTCACCAATCCTGATGGCTTCTTGCAAAACGGCGAAAAGCCAAAACTTCAAGAAATTGGTCCATTTGTTTATAGGTAAGTTTTTATCTATACAACACGTTCTATTCAAAAAGAAAAACTAAAAATTTTGTTTGCTTGAGCCTTTTTAAGTATGAAAATATTTTTTTTCATCATTACCTATTTAAAACGATCGACTAATTAAAATAAAGTCTAAAGTTAAATAATAATACTGGAATTAAATAGATAATAGTTTGAAATTTTTAATTTTTAAATGAATAACATAACCAATCACGTAACTAGGGGGAAAAAATAGTGGAATTTTTTAATCGAGTAAAATAAAATAAAATAAATTTTCTTTATATGTAACTATATGTAATAATGATTGTTTAATTATTCTAACTACGCGAAATTAGTTGGTTTAGTTGTATCCTCTTACTATCTCCGGCTGCTTGTATAGATATTTCTGTTAACTATGATTATTTTATTATATTGTAGTTAATTCAACAATTTTTAGTATATTTTTTCTATATAATAAAACAAAATTAGTTCAAAATACCTATAACTTTAACATTAAAAATAGTTAATGGATAATAGTTAGTTAAAATCCTACAAGCTAAATATAATTCAAACCCTTACCCCGTCCATATCATTTTAAACTTAAATAATCAAATTCTAGGTATAATAGTGTTTTATGTCAAAATAAAGGATGTTAAATACAATACTACTTTTGTACCTTATATTATTTTGATCAAGCTTCAGACTTAAAAATCTAAACTTAGCTTTATTTCGTTACTTTTTAAATTATTAATATAAAATAAAAGATAGATCGTCTCGATAAACTATATAATCGACATTTTAACGTACCTATCTTTTAATATCTGATAGTTAATACTCTGTATAGATAGGTCACTTATCATACGTAGTTAAAATAACAACCACTTTTTAATGCAACTACTATTTAGTATACATTCTTATAACAATTATACTTCAAACATTTTAAATAACAATAATACAAAATGTGTACGTTCACTTTACCTAGAAACCTTGTTAGAAAATATCGAAGAAATAAATTGAAAATAATAAATATCCACATATAGTGGTTTTTTTTCGAAACTCGCATTGGAAGGACTAATTATTACACAATAAATTTAACACTATAATTGTTATAACTTTTGATCTTGAAGTTAATATTATTCATAACAATCATAACAATCGATAGTTCAAAATTAATTAAGTAAGTATTTCAATAATTATTCATGATGATATCATAATATGTAAGACAAAATTATTCGTTCTTTTAATCTAATATAATACATTTAGCTCAATAACTGTTGTTTAAAAAATACATTAACTTAATATTTTATGAGCTAACTGTTATATCCGAATTCAACCTACAATTTTCTTAATAAATGCGGAATCCTTGAAAACTATCTTCTCGTGAATCTTCTTTTTGTTAAAGATAACATTTTGATGAAACTATTATATTAACCAGCATCTCATAAGAACGCCCTTGTACTGAATTGCTCAAATAATATAGTAGTTCTAGTCATTATATATTTGCATGAAACAAACCCCTTTATTTAAATGTCAAATAAAAAAACGTGAAATTTCTAATATTATATCACATGATTTGCCAGATTTTATTTTTCATTTATGTAGATTATATAGGCGTGTAATAATTTATTTATATAATAAATTATGAAGTTATATCATCATTAATTTACAATGTTACTCTTATAAGTACACTAAATGTTTATTAAGTACATATTTAAATTAGAATGTTAGATATTATTGTACTATTATAAATAGTTAAGTTTTCAATAATCTAAAATTAAATTCTTTCTATTTATAAAACCGTTTAAGCTTTTTTTACATTTTTTTCTTAAAAAAAAAAGAACACGAATATTGCCATTTAAAAAATTTAATTTTAATTCATTTTTAATATAACCATACAGGTAGGTACACAAATTTTATGAAAAATATCGTTGTATTTATTTATTTTTATTTACGTACAAAAATAATATTATTTTCAATACTACATAATGTTATATTAACGAATCTCTTAAATAGATAGCAAATTATTTTAGTTAGATTTCATTTAAATAAAAGTGAATAGTTCACGGACATCGCCATCACTTGTTATTAGGTATAATATTAGTATTCTGTATTACCATTGATTATAGTATATTCTATAATCAATGATATTACATGTATAGTAAGACACGAATACATTCAATTTATACTAACTAAAATGTCTATGAAATGCCATTCAAAAATAATAAAATTAATATAAATTCGTATTCATACCATGATATAGTTTAGAGGCAATAGTAATATTAGATGCTTAATCATCTATATTTTAGTCCCAGTTTGATTAACCTTAAGTAAACTAATATAGGATTACTAAAAAGTATCCAAGCTTAATTTATTATTGTGTTCTATATAAGCATAAATTATCAAAACAAAATAAACATTTTTATAAATCGTACACTTTATACTTAATAATACTATTACAAAACTTTACACAATATAAAAATGTAACAAAAATTATTCATGCTAGTCAAACCACAGAAATCTTATTACCTCTCAAAAATTCGCATCACTCATTGATTTATTTTAAAATTTTAACTAATTGTAATCTTGTTAGATACAATCTTATTGAAAGCAATTATGATTCAAACTGTAATTTAACCATGTTAAAGGCTTTTCATTTATTTGAAATTCGATAAGATATTTATGACCCTGGATGTAACGTCTTTAGTAAAAGTAAAATTGGAAAGACCCCACCACGTGTTGTAATAAAACTACTTTATTTTTCTTGGGGAACTTCACGTATCACGTCTGCATAAGACGCTTACCGTCCTTGACCCGAGCCTCAGGAATTTAGTTGTTTTTAGTAATAATATTTGTATTAGTTCATCAATACCTAAGAAGATTGCAAATTTATATACACATATTACTATATAATATATTTATTAGTGATCAAATACTAATTCGAAAAAAATAATTAAAAAAGGGAATTTATTGCTAACGTTTATAATTATGGTATAATATTTTACCTGTTTAACCTGAATATTAAAGATCAATTTTGTTTGTACAGAATGTTTCGTTTACTGTAATTTAATTTTTAACTAAAAAAAACTTAGATATTTTAATAATTTAATATCAGATAAATATAAAATCATATAGATCACGAGTTCTATGCCTTAAACATATAATATTTGAAAATTAAATTTTCTTTAACAATAACTCAAATGTTAGAATAAAAATGACATCAATGATGATTAGCTAAAAATGGCAATGTGCAACGATGGATAACAACAGTATGAAGCAAGTGTCTTGGAGAAAGTGGTCAGAACCTTTCCTATACAAGATTATTACACTGCTGCAATGCTATATGATCTAGATAGTAGCCGCAGAGGCTGCACAATGAATCAAACGTGACGTAATAAGGTTCATACGTTAAGAACGTTAACATTAAACTGTATATTTCAAATACCTTATTATTATTTTTTTATGATGAGTTGTTATTAAATTATGATTACCTAAATTTATAAAATCAATATATTATATTCCTATTATATAACAATTATATTAACATATATATTTAATTTTGGCAATCCGTGAGATTATTATCTTGTTATTTTATGATTGGTACAATTTTTGATTAAATTACCTGTGTTTGAATATGCTTCGAAATAATTTATACTATCCAGAAATTCATAACACGTACGCCATGATGTGTCAAAAAATACATAATATTACTAAATTAATTTGTTAATCATATATTATGACTATCATGCAATAGTTTATTTTACAAGAGTTTTATTATATATTCATGTACATGGTTAGAGTATGTAACACTCAAACCAATTTGCTTTTAAAATATGAAATTTAGGTAAGGTTCTATTATAGAAATCAATCCAACAAATGCTTGCGATTACGATTTACCAGCACCATTAACTTTACTCCAGTTTCTGTATTTTCTACGTAAAAAGATACAAATATATGATTTTCTAAACTGTTGTTATATTTGTACTTCTAATTTCAAAACATTACCTTCAACACTTAAATTAGAATGATCAGAAGGCCATAAAATTGAATAAATGTGTATGTCCTTTCATCATTATGTCATTCGTAAAAATCACCCCAGGTAGTCTAGTATTATTGTAAATCTCTTACACTATTGATAAAGTCAAAAACCGATTATTGCTTTCATAGTTTCATCAATGATACAAGTTTAGAAAATAAATTGACAATCTTAACATCTTTAAAAATCATGTTGTTAAATGACCGATTATAATACGTAGTTTCTTATAGTCATGCACTCTCATGCGTCCGTTAGAAATCAATAGAATTATACAACATTTAACAAAACATCACAAACGTTTGAATGTATCTAAGAAAAGGTTAAAAAAAGAACTAAAAAATTAAGGCGAAAATAATTAATCATTATTGTATTATATTAGGGATAAATTGTAAAACAGTATAACGTTTTAAATAACCTCGAAATCAGAAAAAATTGTTTCGGGTTCAATTATTTTAATTTATAACCCTCATTATAGTTCATATTATCACTCAAATAATTATTGATAACTGCATAACACTAAAAATTAAACAATGAATATTTATCAATGTACTTGCTAATAAATTACCTATACTAAATTGTTCCAATATTATTATATACAATAGAAAAAATTATGTTCAATGATTTCAGAGAAAACATGGAAAAAGTTAACATTCATTTTAATAACAACGGTACGGTGACATACCAACACAAAAAAATTTTAGAATTTATGCCACATCTTTCAGTTATCAAAAATGATGAAATCAAATTAACTGTACCAAATATTCCCTTATTAGTAAGTTTTTGATAGTTTACACATTTAACTAATTTAATAATCACAAATAATTATTTTATAATTTTAGACATTGACTACTCAAGCAAATAGTTTACCGTCAATATTAAAAAGTTCACTTTCAGCAATTTTAAGGTTTTCTGGTTTAACCCCGTTTAAACATGTTACCCCACAACAACTAGTTTTTGGTTATGACGATCCATTAACTTCTCTAGCAAACACATATTATCCAAAAGGAAAAAGACCACCTAAAAAAATGGGACTTTTCTTAATGGTATGTTTGTGATTTATTTTGCTTCTATTAATACATATTTTAAAGATTGGATAATATGATAAATACAATTTTAGCGAAATGGTACGCTAGATGAAGTTTCTACAATATACACGGGTCATAACGGAATGGAGAATTTCGGACTTCTCAATCGTATAAATGGAATGGAAGAGTTACCATTTTGGAAAGGATCTTGTAATTCTATTAGAGCATCTGAAGGTACCTAAATATATTATAAATAAATACTTGGGTTTAATAAATTATTTTTTTTATTATTAATTTTAAATGTAAATTGTAGATTTAAATCTCGGCAACACATAAGAGTTGATTTTTCATCGTATAGTTTATAAGAAAAAGGCAAATTTTATATAAGTACTGTTGGGGTAGTTAAAATCGATTTGTCAAGATAATATTACTTAGAATTTAGATTTTAAAAAATGGAATGCTTTTTAATAATATACCTATATTAATGAGCAATGAAGACATCAAAAGAAAAAAAGATTGAGCATAAATTAATATGTAAAGTTGTCAACTTATCATATTTACATAATTTTTACATAAACAAAAACTAAAATTTTAATAATTTTTCAAATTCTTTATTTATTAATCTTGAGTTTAGGAATACTTAAATTGTATTAAATGTAAAATAATATATAACCATGCATACAAGGTAGTTTAGTAAGAAAGAAATACTTTTGAATACTCTATAAACTTCTTCTTCAATTTTAACGCGATCATATGGGTAATGTACTCGTACTAATATAATATTACGGTGTTACATTCTTGGTATTTTGTATTATAATATAAAAAAAAATGAGCGTAAAAACTACTGAGTTGTTTATAATTTAACGTTTTAACGTGAATATTATTATATTATTTATAACTTCATAGAAAATTATGTCTGAACGCAATTAGAAATTAAAACATTTAATATGTTTGGTTTTTTAAAAAATTTTAGAGATTCTAACCAAACTTAATTCAATTTTGATATTTTATATTATGTTTTTACTTGACTAGTCGTAATATTATTTTTAAATGTATTTGACATAAATTTACTAAGTATGGCATAGAAAATATTAGTTGAGTTATTCACATAGTCTTATTTATAATTAAAAAATATAGTTGGATATTTTTCCTATGACTAAAAATAAACATAAATATTGTATTTTAGGTTCTTTTTTCCCTCCAAGAGAATTTACAAAGTCTGATATAGTACACGTGTATGACAAAGATTTATGTCGAGTATGGGCACTTAGGTACCGAAAAGATGTGATCAAAGATGGTATTACAGCAGGGTACTATACACCTGACGACAATCTTCTAGAAACTGTTGAAAAAAATCCTGAAAATTCATGTTTCTGCGAAGACAACACTGATTGCACGATTAAAGGATTACAGTACATTGGACCTTGTCAATTTAGTAAGTAAATCTGCAGAATATTACTGTTAATTTAATTTGTACTTTTTAAATAAATAATAACTTAAAATAGTAATTTTAATTAATAATAAAGAAAATTTTATTTACAATTTAATGTAATTGTTGAAATTTATAGATGCTCCAGTTTACTTGTCTTTTCCTCATTTCTACAAAGCTGATCCAAAACTTTTAGAAGATGTTGAGGGTCTTTCACCAGATCAAGAAAAGCATGAAACATTCTTAAAAATTCAACCCGTAAGTACTATGATATTAATAAATTAAAATTATATTAACTATCCTACCTACATTAATACCTTTTTATTTATTTAAAAATATAAATTTATGTTGATAAATATGTTTATACGTAAAAATAAAAAATCTTTTTTAAACTTTTAAATACATACTCAATTGGTTAAAAATTGAAGATAAATATATTCAAACTACCCAAAGGTAATAATATTATTCTTGGTTAATTCCAGGGCCAATAACCTAATCTTACCATTCCTCCAAAAAAAAAAAAAAAGTTCTTGATTAAAGCCTGAAATTGAAAAATAAGTTCACTGTCAATTGGTAAACTCCAAATAAATATATACCTAAACTATTTAAATATTTATTTAATAAATTTAATTTTTTTTTAATAAAAATAACACAAAAATTTGATTAGGTTTCAAATTAAGTACAAACAAATTAATTAATCATTACATCTACCTATTATATTCCTATCCAGAAATATTTTAAACAGGGTTTAGTTTACTAATTTACGATACAAATTTATAATGTATAATATAACACTATATTATTATAGAGACTGGGAGTACCACTAGAAGCCCGCGTGAAAGTCCAGCTCAATTTAAAAGTCGAACAATCTAATATTTATCCAACATCCAACTTCAGAAGCATTACATTTCCGATTATGTGGCTTGAAGAGGTAAACAAAAATAATACAATTCAAATAAATTCTATTTAATTTTAAAATAAATTGTGCACGTTTCATTAAAATTTATAATTATCAATCAGGGTGTAAGCGACTTGCCGGAAAACATTCATCGCTGGATATACATGGCCACCACATTCGTAGACACAGCTGTTCCGTTGTTCACTTACGGGCTAATCCTCGGAGGTGCACTATTACTGGTCGCAGTGTTTGTCCGCACATATCACCAAATCGTATTTACCCGGGAAAACATCGAACGTGGCAGACAAAGTATCCTGCGACGGGGTAGCAGTATGCTGGTAAATGGTCAACATCGGTTATTGATTGTTCGTGAATCATACCATAGGATAAGCAACACCGTGCAGGAAACCGACATGGACGCGCAACAGCTTCTGTCGTGATCTAAAGACTACTTATTTTAACGTACCTATTATGATTTTGAAATTTGAAAACTTCTACCATCACCTTTTCGTAAAAGAGATACGAGTGATATGCTATTAAATTATTGTGTAATCTAAACTGTGATATAGATAACGAAAAATGCACAAATGTTTAATGTTCATGTAGTCATCAGAACAAACAAATTCTCAAATTGGACTGTGATACGAATTTTATAGATGAAGAAATTTTATATATATATACATATATATATATGTGTATAGAAAATAAAATAAGATAAACGAAAATAATCAAACATAATTTATCAGTAGTAACTTAATATAATGTTATGCCTTGGTTTTGGGGCGGAATTAAATATTGAATGTTTTTCAACTCATACTTAAATTAATTAGAAATGAATCACAATTGAATTGAACTTTAAATATAAATAATATTGTCGAGCTATACTTACCAACCGTGTTATAGTTTATTGTATTTTGTTTATATATTCATTGAAGAATAAACTAACAATTGATTTAAATTAAATCAATGAAATATTAAGGTGCTCTTATTTTATAATTTTCTGATTATATAATACAACATACCTATACGTTTTTTTTTAATTAAATTTATTTTATATTCAATTATAAATTAAAGCCAAATATCTAATGATAAAATTAATAGACTTAATTATTAGTATCATGATAGTATTATGACTCTGAACAAAGTATTTAATGTCCAATATCAATTTAGTATAATTAATTAATAATGTAAATAATATAAATACACGATATTTTGTTTTTGACAAATCTTAAAATTAATAGGGCATTTATTACTTAGTATTTTCATCATTGTTATTAATAAGTACATCGTTATGCTTAGAAAAATATATAGTTGATTATTTTCTACATGCACACACACATTTGCTCAATCTAAAAATCAAACATCGGTAACAATTTCATCGTTACCATATTATTTACATTTATTATTATGAAGAATGTGTTACTTATTAATTTAACATAAGATTCAACTTGTGTTTTAACTATTATTATTTATTTAAATAAAAAATATGTACAGTGTATAATAAAATAATGTCATGTTAATTTTAACTCATTTTTATATCTAGACAAATATGAATCAAATAATTTATAATTTGGGTAGGTGCATTGAGAAAATTGATGGAAGGTGTACATGACCTATGAATAAATTAACTGTCAGAATTATTTTGCTATTGTAACTTTTGTCAGAATATCATTTATATTTATAAAAAAATTATCCAAAAATATTTTGTACTTTATAGACATTTTTAATAAATCTTTTTTAATTAACTCGAGTATATTTATTACATGATTTAGTACTTTAGTGCATACTAAAATTCGTTGCATAATGCATTCAAATATTTAAGAAGAATAGTACAAGAATTCTGAATGGGCATTGACTACTAGACTAGTCAAGATCTTTAAAACACTAAACAATTATTGTAATCTAACTTTAAGTTATTAAAAATTACTTTTGAAAAATTAAGCTCAGTAAATATAAAATTATATTATATTCTGAAACTATTTCTTTCAAAAAAAAAAAAATAAATAAATAACTAATGATTTTCCTTTTACATCGTAACAACAGAAATAACTGTAGGTAAAATAAAGTAAGTACTTTTGATAAAAAAGAAAAAACGACAATATTAATTAACATTATTATTTATTAATTGGAGATCAAATCCATATTAGCAACTTACCAACATCAAAAATCAAAAGTACTTATTAGTAACATATTGATTATATTGCATATTATCTTGAGAAAAACATTTTTATTCGCAAACTTATCATAGAAATTTTGATTTGAAATGAAAACTGCATGATAGACGATAGTAGAAATGAGATTCTATTCACTACATTATCTTAAAAACTTATATTGTATCATATCTTAAGCAAAATTTCTTCAATACAAAGAAAAGGTAAACAAAAGTAAGTTATAGTAATTCTATAAGATATTTTTTTAGTAATGCAAATATTAAAAGTTATTGAAATTTCGTATTATAAAGTAGCCATAATATATTCAATCAATTTTAATGTACACAGCGTCTACCATTGCTTTCTTTAAAAGTTAAATTCACATTAAATAACATTAACAATTAAGTAATTAAATGTAAAATCATAATGAACGTAACATAGGTATTGCAAAAATATATTGAAATTTATAAAATATAAAATAGATTCATTGTAAAATATAAATCTTTAAATAAATAGTTTACACTTAAAAATACTTTAGAGATACCTGAGAGTGTAATAAATAATAATGCAGTAATGTAATATCCATTTTAAAAATAAATCGAGAATTACGCTTATGTAAGCAAAACTGCAAATCATATTTAAATTATTGTGTGTTCAGGAAACAAATATCAAATAAATACACAAAATAAACAATGTTAATTGTTAGGTGTATTGTTATGATATTATGAATTATTCAATTTGTCGATCATACACCTTACACCATTTAAATATTTTATTTAACATATTTTAGAGCATCAAAAATAAAATTCAAAAATAGAATATTTATTTATTTATTATTATTTAAAATATTTCAGCACATTAGGTGCTATTGCAAATACAGTAAGTTAATATTTATTTATAAAATAGGTTAAGTATTATAATACCTATGAGGCTTTAATAAACTACACAAAGATATGACATGATTCATGTGTACTATATAATATTATGTATAAATTACATATTAAATTATTATACATATATTTCTTTTTTTATATTATCAATTAATAAAATAATTAAAATATTAATAAGCCACACAATACTTCTTGTACATAATTAACTCTCTCTAATATTATATTTCAAATGTTTTGAAACAAATACAAAAAACTTGTATCTAAAAAGTTACTTTTTACCCATTTTTAAATAATAATACTTTGAACAATATCCATCAAACGTAAATATATGTTATCTATATATGACTAGAATAATATTTAAAAAATTATATACTTTTATAGCTTAAACGTGCCTATAATATAATTGTGTAGGGAAAAGTGAAAAATCTATTATTTACATTAAGAGCACCAAAACTTATCCCAAATTGTATGTTTCAAAATTATTATAAATTGTATTCAATCATCCTACTGCTGATATGATACGTTTATATATTTATTAATTATTAGCTATCTCTATGCACTTCATTGCCCGTAAAAAAATACCACCTTTTAAATAATTCAAATTTTGTTCAATTCGCTATCCATTACTCGGTGTAAGGATGTTTAAAACTCAAAAAGGGAAAAGATTTAAGTTTAACTTTGATTTTTATTTGGTTTTCAACTCAATAATTATATTTTACACTTTTGCGTTTAATTTACACTAAAGTTTTTATTCATTAAATTTATTAAATTTAATATAAATTTGCAGTCGAGTCCATTAAGAATTATCGTTTGAGCTCACACGAAACTCACTTGAAAAATCCATGTGTTAGTATAATTTACTTCACTCATTGAGTTACGTCAGTACGTTTTTACTCGCTTCAAGCTGAAAAATCTTCACACCCTACTTGGTATACTTGGACACGATTCACCATTAAAGAAATCTATTAAAAAAATTCAATGTGCTGGGAAAATATTTTGAGATACACTCCACTTGATCTTTACAGGTTACATAAGTACACAATCAATATTTATTTGAGGTTTAAAGATTTTTAATAAAAATTTAAAAATTATAAGCTAAAACTCTAGTTTTTTTTTTTTTACCAACATTTATTACAAATGACAGAAGCCCATAAGTCAAACAAATATAATTTTATAATTGTATAATTGTATCATCAAATTTGAGGGAGAAAAACGCTTTAATATTTGATTTTTAATACAAATAAAATATTGTCTGTACAAAACACATAAAAAATAAAATATTTAAATGTGATTGAATATAAAATGTGCCTATTATTTATTGTTAAATGTCAACTATGTAATACAACTAATAGTATTATTTATTTAACATACATTTTACTATCAAAATAAGAATCCAGTTGTTTTATTTGTAAATAAATTATCCATTTTTTAATTTTTTTTAAACAATGAATTTGTCTATGCAAACCCGTTTTATTTATATAAGTAGTTTTAATATATAATTAATAATATTACATTAATTAATATATTATTATTAATTAATTATCAACTGATAAAATAACTCATCATTCATTGATTGAAAACGAAGATACATTTACATGGGAACACATAAAAATATTGTAAATATTGATTCCGTGTGATGTAACTACGTCACCTGGATTAGACATGAACATTTTGTGTTTAACATTGTACAGAATTATGGTTAATACCAATCAATGGCGTTCCTCGAATTATTTAAAAAGAGAAAGGACACATCCTATGCATATATATAAAATATAATAGCTCTTTTTGCATAAAATTAGATGAAGTGTATTATATAAGTACATATATAATATATAACATAATATAAGAAATTATATTCATACAAATTCATCATCAATAACATTAAAATATAAATACATTTAATCTTTTTTTGTGTTATTATTTGAATTATTTCATCAGCTGTTTAATACATTTATAATAAAAACATATTGTCAACTCATTATTGGTTAAAATGTTAGGTTAGTAATTAGTTACTAGATTATCAGTTTCACTTTTAAACAATTTAATTTTAGTTTCTAAACGATCTATAAACTATTTTAACTATTTATCAAAACATTCTATAATTGAAATTTAAAAGTTCAATTAAATATTTTAATTCTGATCTATGTAAAAATAAATTATTGAAATTAACTTTTAAATATTATTAATTATTATTACTTAAAATAATAAAATGATATTATATGTTACAGTGCCCTCATTTTAGCTTTATTGTAAACTATATTTTGTTGTCATACCAAATAAATATTGTCACGTAATTTAGATAGAGTGAAAAATACTAACACATAATATCAGCGGTAACATGACCGTCATATAGTTGTCTGCATAATGTCGTGATTCAAAACTCTTACTATTTTTATTTTTTTCTTTGATACCAATAGGTATTATATAAGTTGATTAGTAATTTTTATTTTTTTTATCATGTAGATTATTTTATTTGCTTTTTAGAATGCATTTACCTACAAGTTTTCCTGTTGTCTTGTTCTTTTCCCAATTATTTTTGGTATGAATTTTTATTCTTTGACCAGCTACCACTCCATTTAAATTGGAATTACCTACCTTTGATTTAGCAAAGTTTCGAACAGAGGGTGCAATGCACCAGTACCTCAAAACTGTGGTTATTTTGTTGATCTCAGTTTGATGACCTAGATTTTCTAAT